AATAGACTGTCAAGCATAACTTAAAATGCACAAACAGACGAGAAACTCGATGACTGAGACCTTTTAAAAATTTACTTCATATGTTCTTTGAAAGACTTCTTCAAAAGAGTGAAAAGAGAACCTAAAGATTGGGAAAAATTGGCTATAACATATCTGACAAGGGATTTATCTCTAAAATTAATAGAAAACTTCACTTCAACATCAAAAAGACAAACAATACAATTCAAAAATAGGCAAAATACATGAACACACACTTCACTAAAGAAGATATACAGGAAGCCAACAAACACGCAAGGAAATGCTCACGATCAGTAGCCACTCAAACAAAAAAACCAAACTCACTGCCGTTGAGTTGATTTCGACTCATAGAGACCCCTTCTTGGGTTTCCAAGGCAGTATCACTACAGAAGTAGATTTCTCCATTTTCCTTCTGAGGAGTGGCTGGTGGGTTTGAACCCCCAGCCTTCTGTTTAGCAGTCAAATGCCTTAGGCATTATACCACCAGAGCTCCGTTAGAGAGATGCAAATCAAAGCAACAATGAGATATCATCTTACCCCTAGCAATAATAGCAAAGTTCCACAAGGCAGAAAATAATAAATGCTGGTGAGGGTGTGGAGAGATTGGAAATGTCATACACTGCTAGTGGGAATGTAAAATAATACAGCCATTGTGGAAAATAGTATGGCATTTCTTTAATCAATTGGAAATAGAAATACCATTTGATCCAGCAATTCCACTACTAAGAATATATCTTAAAGAGGTGAGATCCACGACACAGATAGACATGTGCACACCCCTGTTTATCACAGAACAATTAATTCACTGTAGCAGAGATGGAAACAACCTAAGTGCCTGTCAACAGATGAATGCATAGCAAAACTATGGTACATTAACACAATGGAATACTATACAACACTAAAAAATAACAAAGAATCCATTAATCACCTCATAACATGGATGAATTTGGAATACATTATGCTGAGTGAAATAAATCAGTCACAGAGAGACAAATATTGTATGAGTCCATTATCATACAAAGTCAAGGAAAAGTTTATGGACAGAAGGAAATTTACTTTGTTGGTTACCAAGGATGGGAGGGGAAGAGAGGGAAAATTTCTGACTAGTTAAGAGTCATGTGTTGATTTGGGTGAAGAGAAAGGCAATATAACACATTTTTGTGACCAGTACAATAATAATAGAGAAAAGGAGGACACAGAAATGTGCACAAAAGGTGTAGACAATAGAGGCATATGCTATTACATATACACTACAGCATTACTGGTAACAACAAACACTAGTCTATGGGTAAACATATAGATAGATGAGAGGATCAGGTGTGCATAGGTGAACGGGAATATACCCAAGACCATAGACAGATTTGGCTAATGATATTCTTACACTTGTATTTGTGCTACAAAGATATTCAAATACATTATACAAGCAACAGGGGACAGGTTCAAGTAAGCTTCTCAGTGACAACCAAGCACCTTGAGGGAGTGAGTCACTGGGCCTGTGGGCTCAAGACTATGGTCTTGGGAGACATCAAGCTCAATTGGCACACCATACTCACTGTCATCGAGTCAGATCTGACTCACAAAGATGCCTCCTTGGGTTTCCGAGGCAGTATCACTAAGGATGTAGATTGCCCACCCTTCCTTCGAGGAGTGGCTGGTGGGTTTGAACCACAAGTCTTCTGGTTAGCAGTCAAATGCCTTAGGCACTATGCCACCAGAGCTCCTTGACACAGCATAGAACATAAAAATTTTGTTTAACATCCTACTTTGTTGAGCAGAGGCTGGGGTGTTAAAAACTTTCAAGTGGCCAGCTAAGATGCCATTATTGGTCTCTCCTCATCTGGAGCAAAGAAGAGTGAAGAAAATCAAAGTCACATGGGAATAATTAGTGCAAATATATAATGTACCAGCCTTCATGAGCAGCCTTCACTGAGGTGAGAAGAACTAGCTAGTGCCCAGCTACCAATTCCAACCACGCAGAAAGGAATCAAAATTAAAGATCTTGGATAGAGTGGGAGGAAAAATTTGGAACAAAATTCAAAAACACAAAAATAACCAGAATTACTGATTGGATAGAGACTGGTAGAATCCCCGAAACTTTGGTCCCTGGTTATCCTTCAGGTCTGGAACTTGTCGCACTTCCATGGATTAGCTCTCAGCCAAACTGTAGAAAGGCCAATGAGCAGAACACTTACCCAGGGAGATGTACTCATCTGCTCTAGAGAGATGCACCCCTTACATCATCCAAGCATGAGACATCAGAAGGACATCATTTTCATAGAGGGAAAGCAGGATGACAGGAATGCATACATTGCGTAAGGAGGACAGAGGGAAGGGGTAATCACAGGGAGGAGAGGGGAGAGCTTTTTATTGTTGGGATTGTAATTGGGTCTGTGAAACCAAATGTGTATGAACTGTGGAGAGTAAAATGATTCTGCTTTGCAAATTTGCACCCAAATCACAATAAAAAAAAGTTGAGGGAAAAAAATGTATATATCTAGCAATAAATTTTACCAGGTAGGTGAAAGACTTGTGTATTGAAAATTACAAAGCATTGTAAAAAGTCAAAGAAGACCTAAATAAATAAAAAGCCATCCTATGTTCATGAATTGGAAGATTTATATTGTTAAAATGGTAATATTATCCCAAGTGATTTACAGATTCTGTTCCTATCAAATACAACTCCTATCAAAATCTCAATGACTTTTTTTTTTTTTTTTTTTGGCAGAAATGGACAAGCTAATTCTAAAATCCATATGAAATTACAAGGGACACTGAATAACTAAAACAATTTCGAAAAATAATTATGGAGGACTCAAACGTCTTAATTCAAATGTTACTTCAAATTAATCAAAATAGTGTGACACTGGAACAAAGAAAGATAGATTGATGAATGAAACAGAACTGAAAGCTGAGAAGTAAATGTATATATGTATGATCAATTGATTTTAGGATTTTGCCAAGACCATTGAGCATGAAAAGAGTCACCTCTTCACCATATGGTTCTGAGGCCACTGAATATCAACATGCAACAGAATGAAATGCAACCCTTACCTCACACCATAAATTAATTCAAAATAAATAAATTAAAGAACTAATTGTAAAGAATTAAAACTCTAAAACTCTTAGAAGAAAATATAGGGGTAATGCTTACTCTTAATTTGGCAGTAGATTTTAAGAAATTACACTGAAGGCACAAACAACAGAAACAAAATGAATTAGACTTCAACAAAATGAAAACCATATATATATCAACAGTCACTATCAAGAAAGTAAAAAGAGTACCCACAGAATGGGAGAAATCATTTCTAAATCCTATATCTGATAAAGGTCTAGTTACTAGGATATATAAAGAACTCTTATAACTCAACAACAAAAATGACACATAATCCAATTATAAGTGGGCAAAGAGCTTCCGTAGACATTTCTCTGAAGATAACAAATGGCAACAAATACATGAAAAGATGTTCAACATCACTTGTTATTCTGGTTCTTGTTCTGCGCCATCAAGTCGATTCTAACTCATAGGGACCTTACAACTCAAAAACCAGACTCACTGCTATCAAGTGGATTCTGACTCATAGTGACCACCATTCAGTTTTCAAGGCTGCAAATCTTTATGGAGGCAGACTGCCTCGTCTTTCTTTGGCAGGTGGGTTCAACCACAGACCTTTTGGTTAGCAGCCAAATGCCTTAACCACTATATCATCAGGGACAGAGGAAAACTGACTCATAGGGTTTCAAGGCTACAATGTTTATGGGAGCACGTTACCAGGTCTTTTCTCATGTGGTGTCACTGGGTAGATTTTAATTGCCAACCTTTTGGTTAGCAGTTGAGCACTTAACCATTGCACCGCCAGGGCTTATTATTATGGAAATGCAAATCAAAGCTACAATGAGATACCCTTTCACTGCTTTGGGACGACTATAAAAAAGTCAGATAATAACCAGTGTTGTGAAAGATTTGGAGAAATTGCAACCCTCATATATTAATGGTGGGAATATTAAATGGTACAGATGCTGTGGAAAACAGTATGGCAGTTCCTCAATAAGCATGGAATTATATGATTCAGCAATTCCACTTCTATGTATATAACCAAAAGAAAGGAAAGCAGGTATTAAAACAGATACTTTTACATGAATGCTCACAGTGAAAAATACAAACAACCGAAATGACCATCAACATATGCCTGGATAAACAAATTGTGGTATATCCATACAACACAATGTTATTCAGCCATAAAAACAAATGAAATAGAAGAAATATATGATATTTGCTAGAATGTGACAAACCAAAAACCAAACCCACTGCCATCGAGTCAATTCCAACTCATAGCAACCCCTCATTGGGTTTCCAAGGCTGTAAATCTTTATAGAAGCAGATTGCCTCATCTTTCTTGCTCAGAGCATCTGGTGGGTTTGAATCACCGACCTTTTGGTTAGTAGACAAATGCCTTAACCACCAGTGTGCCTTTGCTGCAATGTGAAGAAACATTAAAAATATTATGGGAAGTGAAAGACGCCAGACACCAAAGGCTGCATACTATATGATTCCACGGCTATTGTTAAACATTCAGAATAGGTAAATTAATAGGGTCTGAAAGAACTAGTGGTTGCCAGGGAATGGAGGAAGAGGAGTAAGAGGAATGGAGTAACTGCTTAATGGGTATGGAGTTTCCTTTTGAGGTGATGAAAATTAGATAGACTAGACAGAGGTGATAGTTGTACAACATCAATGTACTAAATGCTACTGCATTTTATACTTTTAAATGGTTAGCAATTAGTTTTATGTTATTTGAATTATATCTCCATAAAATATGTTTTACTGATCTCATTTATTTAAGAAAATTTTTGCATGGTGGGAGCAATTTCATTGTAGACCTCACCAAAATATTTTGCAAAGTTTCTAGAATATAAACTTCAAAATAAATAGAGAATTTCCTGTAAATATGACACCATTTTTAGTAAGATTCAAAAGTACTTACCTTGATGGCACCCCTTTTTCCTTTCTAGTATTGTACACCAAATTAAGTAGTACTGCTCTCACAATGGAAGATGATTTTTTGCTTTCAGAGTAATTCTTTATTGTCTCAGGACTCATATATCTAAAAAAGAAAAAAGAAAGAAATCTTAAACAAACTTTATTTATTTATTTAATGAATTTGTATTGTGATTTAGGTGAAAGTTTACAGAGCAAATTCATTTTCCATACAGCAGTTCATACACATTTTGTCTCATGACCTTGACTGCAATTCCCCACAATGTAACAGCTATCTTCCCACTTCCTCCCTGTAGTTACCTCTTCCTTGTGTCCTTCTCACCATGCACTCCCACTCTTTGAGCTATCTCCCTGTGTAAACGCTGTTCTTCTGTTTTCCCATGATTGACTGCTCCATGCTCCAGAAGGTGTATCTACCTGACGTAAATATTCACCCCATATACCTGTCTATTGTTTGGTTGGAAGCCACAGCTGAGTTCAATTTCAGACTTGAAGGATAGCTAAGGGCCACAGCCTCAAGGGTCTCACAAGGCTCTATCAGACCAGCAAACCTGGTCTTTTTTTTTTTTTTTTTTTTTTGCCCCATCATATTTAATTCCCCTGATTCCCCACCAGGATCTCCTGCACTGGTCCCTCTCAGAATGGTTGACAGTGGTAGCTGGACACCATCTAGTTCTTCTGGTCTCATGGTCCTATAGCCTGAGGATCACATGGTCTACCAGACCCTTGGACTAATTGTTTCAATGTGTCTTTGGTTTTCTTCATCCTTCTTTGCTCTGGACAAGGATAGACCTATTGTTGCATCTAGATGGATGTTTGCAAACTTTTAAGATCCCAGTCGTTACTCACCAAAGTAGGGTGTAGAATAATGTTTTTGTGTAGTATGTTATGACAATTGAGCTTGATGTCCCCTGTGACCATGGTCCCAAGCCCACAGATCCAACTACCTGCTCCCTCTGGGTAGCTGACTGTGGCCAAGAAGCCACAACAACCTTGCCCCTTGTCAACTTTACTATACACCCAGACATTCTTACGGCAGATACAAATAAGCATGTAGAAACATTGTCTGCTAACCCTACACATGATAATGGGCACATCCCCTGTCTAGACATACTTGATCATTCAGGCTATCTGTCCATCTATCCACCTGTAACGTAATGCTTAACATCACTGACAACACAGTACTCTATGTGCGAAAGGATTCATCTTTGTTTGTATCTCCCATGGACATCTCTATGTTTTCGTCTGCCTCAATGCCACCATGTTGATCACCCACATTTGTTACATTGCCCTTCCCTTTACCCAAATTAATACTTGTCTCTACCTATCTAGCAGTGTTCCTTCCCTTCCCCTCCCACCCCTTGTAACCAACAAAGAAAATTTCCTTCCACATATAAACCTTTCCTTGACTTATTACAATAATGAACTAATACATTGTTTGTCTTTCTGTGATTGACTTACTTCACTCAGCATAAAGTCCTCTAAGTTCATCCATGTTATGTCGTGTTTTGTAGAACCTTGATGTCCTTGATGGATGCTGTTGATTATTTTTCTTGTGTTGAACCATCCTTGCATACCTAGTATGAACCTCACTTCGTCATAATGTATTTTTTTTTAATATGTTTTTGGAATTGATTGGTTAGGATTTTCTTGAAGATTTTTGTTTCTATATTTATGAAGGATATTGGTCTGTAGTTTTCCTTTTGAGTGATGTCTTTATCTGGTTTTGGTATCAAGGTCATGTTTGCTTCATAAAATGAATTTGGGAGGACTTCATCCTTTTCTATGTTCTGGAATAGTGTGAGTAGGATTGGTGTCAGTTTTTCTCTGAATATTTGGTAGAATTCTCCAGTGAAACCATCTGGGCCAGGGCTTTTTTTGTTGGTAATTTTTTTTATGACCTGTTCAATTTCTTCTTTTGTTATGGGTCTGTTCAAATTTTCTACCTCAGTCTGTGTTAGTTTAGGTAAGTAGTATGATTTTCAGAAATCTGTCATTTCTTCTAGATTTTCAAATTTGTTGGAGTATGGTTCTTCATAATACCCTGATATTATCATTTTTATTTCACTTGGTTCTGTTGTGACGTTGCCCATTTTGTTTTTTACTTGTGTTATTTGTGTTCTCTCCCTCTTTTCCTTTGTTGAATTTGCCAGTGGTTTGTCAATTTTATTAACATTTTGAAAAAAATTAATGTCTAGTCTTGTTGAAGGAGCCATGGTAGAGTAGTGCCTAAGGCACTTGACTGCTAACCAGAAGGCTGGTGGTTCAAACCCACCAGCCACTCCTCAGAAGGAAGGTTGGATAATCTACTTCCATAGTCTTTCCACCTCAGAAACCCAAGAGGGGTCACTATGAGTCAGGTCTGACTAGACGGCACATAACAACCGTCTTTTTTTTTTTTTAATTGTCTATTTGTTGTTTAATTTATTGTTGCTCAAATCTTTATTATTTCTTTTCTTCTGGTGACTGTAGGCTTTTTTTGCTGCTCTTTTTCTAATTGTTGGAGATGTTGGGTTAAGGTGTTGATTTAGACTCTTTCTTCATTTTTGGATGTGTGCATTTATTGCTATATATTGCCCTCTGATCACTGCTTTTGCTGTGTCCCAAAGATTGTGACATGTTGTGTTTTCACAAGGAATTTTTAATTTCATTTTTAATTTTTCTATTGTTGTTGTTAGATGCCGTCAAGTCATCTCTGACTCATACTGACCCTGTGCACAGCAGAAGAAAACACTGCCCGATTCTGCACAAGCTCCATGATCCTTGCTATACTTGAGCTCATCACTGTAGCCACTGTGTCAATCCATCTCCACCTTACCAAGCATGACATCCTTCTCTGGGGAATGATCTCTTCTGACAACATGACCAAAGTAGGTGAGACGAAGTCTGGCCATTCTCGCTTCCAAGGAGCATTCCAGTTGCATTTCCTCTAGGACAGATTTGTTAGTTCCTTTACCTGTCCATGGTACTTGCAGCATTCTTTGCCAGCACCACATCTCAAAAACATCGATTCTTCTTTGGTCTTCCTTTTTCATTGTCCAGCTCTCATATGCATATGAGCTGATTGAAAATATCATGGCTTGTGTCAGGTGCACCTTAGTCCTCGAGGAGACATCTTTGGTCCTAAGCACTTGAAAGAGGTCCTTTGCAGCCAGTCAGCTATATGTTGTCAGATGTCCTCACTGCTGCTTCCATTGGCATTGATTGTACCAAGCAATGTGACATCTTTGACAACTTCAATCTTTTCTCCATTTATTGTGATGCTGCTTATTGTTTTCAAGGAGGGTGTTATTCATTTTCCATGTGTTTGCTCTTTTTGTGTTGATCTTCCTATTATTGATTTCTAAATTTATAGCATTGTGATCTGAGAAGATGCTCTTCACTATTTCAATGTTCTTTAATTTATTGTGGTTTAACATATGGTCTATCCTGGAGAATGTTCCATGTGCACTGGAAAAGAATGTATATTTTGGTGTGTTGGGTTAAGTACTCTGTAGATGTCTATAAGGTTAAGTTGGTGCATTGTATTGTTTGGGTCTTCTGTGTTTTTGTTGAGTTTATTTCCAGTTCTTTCTTTCATTAAGTGGTGTATTAAACTTTCCTACTATGACTGTGGAGTCATCTATTTGTCTTTTCAATTCTGTTAAAGTCTAGTTATGTGTTTCATTGAGTGCTCTTTCATTAGGTGCATAGATATTTACTATAGTTATGGACTCTTGTTCAATTGATCCTTTGATCATCATATAGATTCCTTCCTTGTCTCTTATGGTGGTTTTTGTCTTAGTGTCAATTTTACCAGTAATTAATATTACCACTCCTGCTCTTTTTTGATAGCTTTTTGCATGATATATCTTTTTCCAACCTTTGATTTTTAGTCTATCTTTGTCTTTGTCTCTGAGGTATGTCTCTCGTAGACAGCATATTGATGGGTTATGTTTACTTAGTCTGCCACTCTCTGTCTCTTCAGTGGTACATTTATTCCATTTACAATCAGTGCGATTATTGACAATTATGAATTTGTTGTTGTCATTTTGTTATGTGTTTCTCTGTGATGTTGCTGATCTCTTTGTTCAATATAATTTTCTGTGCTGAGCTCATTTTGTTTATGAATTGTGTTATCATTTCCTTCATTGCTATTGTTAAACATGCACAGTGGCAGTCACTGTGCAAATCTATCTCATTGAAGGTCTTCCACTTTTTTCCTGACCCTCTACTTTCCCGCAAACATGATATCTGTCTCCAGGGATTGGTCTCTTCTGACAACATGACCAAAGTACAAGAGAGATGAAGTTTGGTCATTCTCACTTCTAAGGAACATTCTGGTTATACTTCTGACCATAGTTTTTTTGGGGGAGTGGGAGTGGGGGAAGTGGGGGAGGCATAAGGAAAGACCATTCTAGTCAGAAGGAGTAGCTTGCTCAAATGCAGATGTTGTGAGTGAGAAGAGCAAGTTTGGGAAGTGAAAAGTAGATGATTTGATTGAGTGTAGGGGGAAGAGTATGCATTGACATGGACACAGTATAGTGCATGATCCCAAGTTATCAGAGAAAAGCAAGAAAACTGAGTTGTATCATTTCCTAAATGCAGTGGCATAAAATGGAAGCCATCTCTTGACAACATACTTACTCTCCTTTCTTCTCACCAAAGCTTCCTGCTGCACCTACCAGCAACTGAACTGCACTCCGGCTCAGAGTCTCATTCCTGTATTGTCTCTGGTAACTTGCCTTAAAGAAATGTTGAGTCAAATCATTATATGGCATAGACAGCAATCCCAACTTATTACTCTCTTTATGGTAAAATAATACGATAAAGAGGTCAAAATCCCCAAATATTCTAGTGTTTTTATATATTAAGAAAATCTTCCTATGGAGTCTAGTCCATGAGATCAGTGCTGATCAGCACATTCCAAGATGATTCGACACATTCCAAGATGATTCTGCAAGAAATGAGAGTCTTGCTAAGTATTAAATGGTTTCCAAAAGACAAAAGGAGTTCTGTGTCTAAAAACGTCTGGCAATTTTGAAGACTGTATCCCTGTCTTTTAAGTCCATAATGCATGTTAGAATATAAAAACCTCTGAGAAATCCTGAAGTAAAGGGTTTTTTCTTTCCCCCCACATCTTTGTTTAAGTGTTTACCTAAATATTTTGCTGACAGAACTCTGTTTTCTCCAATCTATTATAAACACTAAAGGAACTTTTACTAATCTGCAGGGTACAGTAGTTTCTTCATTCCATAAACATATATTGAAAACCTGTGCTGCTTCACATACTGTACTTGATTCTGGGGACACCACTATGAAGAAGACTGACCCTGCCACAGGCCTTAATGTGTTGAAGACTTCTGGGAATCACTGTTTAAACTTCTTTCCTAAACTTGAATGTGTGATATAACCAAAGATTCCTTAGTTTCATAGACAGTATTGTCTCTGCATAATCATTTATGGATATTAAAACACTGTTTTGCCCTTGGGGGGTATTAAGGAAAACAACTAAATTTGGGAATGAGAGATCAAAAGGCTATTTTTCCATAATAATAAGAATTTAACAGAGTAGCATTTTTTTCCCTTGAATTTTATTAAAATACTAATAACTTAAGATGAAAATATTTTCAGAGTGCTTGAAGATAAAAATTGTAGTTAGGGAGAAAATGAGGAAGCTGAAAATAATATGGGACTCGTGAAAGTTCAGCAACACAAATGATAAAGTAGTATGATCCTAGAAAAAGTTTAATTCTTACATGATCATTCCCTCAAAAATGTAAGAATTCAGAGAACAGTTAATTCCTAAAAATAACTGTCATTTATTGACCTTTCCACAATACTACTGAACTAACCATGATATGCATGTTTTATGTATATTAATTAATTGTCACAACAACTTTAAGGTATTCTTATCTGTATTTTATAGATGAGGAAGCTGAGGCTCAGAGTTAAGTAGTTTTCTCAGGGTTGCATTACAAAGCCAGATTTCTCTTAATGCAAAGCCTGTTTTCCCCTATTATGAAGTTCTGTGTCTCCCACACCACTCTATTTTGCTGTACTGCTCTTCTAATACACAACTGAGAAGAAATTGCTTCAACTAAAAGCTGACTGAGATTCAAATAGAAGATCTCAAAGCTATAAATGCTGTAGTAGATTGATTAACATAACTATTGGGAGCAATGAATATTAGAATTGAGATTGCTGAAACTGAATCAACAAATCAAGATGAAAATCTGTTGAGAACAAAGATGGGCTAAAAGATATGAGGTGAGATGACTCTCTGAGGAACACAGGAGAGATTCAACCAAAGAAAATAGGAGTTTCTGATTAAGACCCAACAAATAATACAAAATCAATACTCAAAGATTTAATAGTAGAAAACAAACAACTGAGACAATAAATCAAAAGAGTGCATGGGGTGTATACTGTAGAGCAGAGGACATAGTCCTCTAAGTCAGCATTAGTTTCCCCTTTTACAGATAGGGAAAATAAAGACTAAATAGAGTAAGTCTTAAGTCACACATCATATTAGTAGCAAAAGCAAGACTCACAACAGAGCCTCCTGCATTCTTTTTTTTTTTTTTTAACTGTATTTTCCTGAAATAAATTTAAAAATCTGTAAACAAATCAAAGGCATGGTCTCATAAAAATGTTAAGCTAAAGGAAATAGGAGTAGCTCTATTACCATACAAATAATAAAGGAGCTTGCATTTAATTTCATGAGTATTAATAATATTCCTCTTATTGTTTCTTGTGAATTAACTTCTTACCATTAATTGCATACAACTCTCATACTTTTAGGTCTGAAAAGTCTTTAGACATTTACTAATTACTTTTTCTACAAAATGAGGCTAGAGGCACTTGTCAAACCAGCAGAGAAAGATCTGGACTGGATGTGTTGTTGCTAGAATTAATTAGCAAAAATTTAAAAATAGTATCAACTTATTGCAGAAAGGAAATGAATAAGGAATCATATTAGAAAATGTTTGTTACTTATAAAAATAACTAATAAGCATAATTGTTAGAACAAAAGAAATATAAAAGTTTAAATTAGAAAAACATGAATGAAATTTCAGCACATTAAATGAAATTTATCTTTGTGTTCTTAACATGGCCTAGCCTTAATAAACTACTTTTTTCTTTTCTTTTCTTTTATTTCAAAGGAAATTATAAGAAGATTGAGTGAAAGAGAATTAAAAACAAAACAAAACAAAAATAACCCTCACTGCCGTCTAGTCGGATCTGACTCACAGCAACCCCTCCTTGAGTTTCGAGGTAGTATCACTAAGGAAGTAGATTGCCCAACCTTCCTTCTGAGGAGTGGTTGGTGGGGGGTTTGAACTGCAGTCAAATGCCTTAGTCACTATGCCACCAGGTGTCTGTACTCATTAGGAGGTCTGCTGGTGTAGTGCTTAAGACATTTGACTTCTAAGCCACTCCTCAGAAGGAAGGTTGGGCAATCTACTTCCTCAGTGATACTGTCTTGGAAACCCAAGGAGGGGTCACTGTGAGTCAGATCTGACTGGACAGCAGTGACTTTTTTTGGTTTGTTTATTTATTCATTACTTTTAATTAGAAATGCACAGAGATAATTTATGTTTTTAACAATATATATACATATAACAATATATATACATATAACAATATATATAGGGAGCTCTGAAAACATAGTGCCTAAAGCACTTGACTACTAACCAAAAGGCTGGTGGTTCAAATCCACCAGCCACTCCTCGGAAGGAAGGTTGGGCAATCTAATTCTATAGTGATACTGCCTCAGAAACCCAAGGAGGGGTCGCTATGAGTCAGGTCTGACTCACAGCATGTAACAACAACAACAATATATAAGATAGGCAAAGGTTAGTTACTTCTAAAGTCAGTTTATCAAACAAAGAAAACAAAGATAATATATGTCTCAACCGGAAAAGAAGGATGGATGGATGGGTGGAAGGAAGGAAGTCAAACAAACAGGCAAAAGAGGGGAGAGGAGAAGATGGGTGGAGGTGGAAGAAGAAGGGAAGTATAATAGCAAGAGACACTGAAAATAGAAGTACTATTTGACCCAGCAATTCCATTACCAGGAATATATCCTAAAGAGGTGAGAGAGAGCACATGAACAGACATATGTACACCTATGTTCATCACAGCACAATTCACTATAGCAAAGAGATGGAAACCTAAATGCCCATCATTCAGCTGAGGCTAATCTTGCGCAGACACCAGTGATACAAAATACCTGCAGTCCTTACAGAAACAATAGAATACAGACACAGAGTAATCCCTCACAGACTACCAGACATTATGGGAGAGAGATCCAATAGATCTACCATTTTAGGACCATCTGGGGGATGCCAGACTCAACTAGCACAACAAAATACATAAAAGCCTTGTTCCACATCCTACATTGATGAGTAGTGACTGGGGTCTTAAAAGCTTTCAAGCAGCCATCTAAGATGCAGCAGCTAATGGTCTCCTAGCATCAGAAGCGAAGAAGAAAGCAAAAAAAAAAAAAAAAGGCATTTGGAAGCAA